AGATATATACAAGCACTGGTATATATAATTTGATGAAAATGTACTTTATATGATATGCAGTAGTTCACTTATACAAGTTGTTATGATGATTTAGAAGCAATTTAATAAAATAAAATATAGAATTTCCCTAGTTTATAAAATTTAAAAGTTCTGAAAGCTTGTTTTTTGTTATTTTATATTATTTATCTAATGTAAATATTCAAAATTTTGTATTCATTTTAATGATAAAAGATCAATTTATAGATATTTATTTACTTTATTTTTATGGAGTTCTACAAAGAAGCATCATATTAAGTCAATAATTTTATAAAAAATGCATATTATAATGATTTGATTTTTTATTTTATAAATAATAAAAGTATTAGCGATGAGCTAGTCGAGGATCTAGGTTTAAGAAAGAGAAAGAGAGAGAGTGAGGAGATGCGAAAGAAGATATGAAATATATGGATTTAAAAACTTTGTAAATATATTATTTTATTTCGAATAAAACTTAAATGAACAGAATAAAATATTTTAGATGTTTTTTATTTATTTTTAAAAAGTTTAAAATTATTTTAAGATAAGCTTAAAAATAGTAAGATTTTTGGAAAAACATTTTTTTATATATTAAATAAATTTGATATAACAAAAATCAGAGATATAAAATTGGATATACTTGAATTTAAAAAAAAATTTATTTAAACTGTTTATAAATGATTAAAAGATTAAATTGTTTTCATTTAAAAATATCACAATTTAAATTTTTTATACATACATGTATGTAGAAAGTGTATATAAACATTAATGCATATATATATATGCATTAATATTTATATAATGTATATAATATTTATATAATGTATATTTATATACAGATGTATAAAACTCTGTTTACTAGAAAAATAATAAACAGTAAATATAAAAATTTATATTTATGTAGATTTTNAATAATATTTAGTAATAAATATAGCAAAACTTATGCACTTTTACTAATCATTACTTTTCTATAATATTGAATATTTAATTTTATAAATCTACAGATCTTTAATTATGTTCTCATTACTAATGATAGGATTACTAATAAGGATTAATTTATATTTAATTATAGTATGAATCATATTGAAGGTAGGAGTAACCTTTATCTCTCTATTCAATTTTAACATTATAAGTTTAATATAAAGTTACTTATTCAGAATGTAACATTATAATTTGTAACTGTACAATTAACTTAATTTTCTTTGTAATATTTTTAATATTATTCAAAGAAAGGATGAGGAAAATTATATTTTAAAAAATTGTATATGATTAATTATTTAAATATAATTTTAATGTTATATTCTGGATGAATGAACATACTTCGTAATTGTAATACTTAAATTTGTACAGACAAAAACAAAAAAGAGAAGTGAAATTCATTTCTGTTTTTAGACGAACGGCATTTGTAACTTGATTAAAACTTTGTTTCCAAATGAAAAATTAATCTATAAATTGAATAAAGTAATCATAAAAATTGAAATGAAGGCGGTATCATGAACAGTTATCATTATAATTTGGTAAAATAGAGAAATTATGAGGTAAAATTTATTTTTTTTAAGTAAAAGATATTCAATAAAAATTCAGAAAATTTTATAAAGTTGAAAAACTAGATAATTTTTCACTTGAGTTTTAAAAAATTTTAATGTTAAAAAAGACATCAGTTCTGAGAGCGATTCAAAACTCTATCATGAACAGATCTAGAAAAATATTATAGTTTAAAACTTTTCCATTAGAAATAATATTTTATACCAATTATAGGAAGTAGAATAAGAAGTTGAGTAAAAAATATGATAGAAAGAATCTTAATGTTCAAAGAAATAATATAAAACTTAGAAACTGAGAAAAGTATAGAAAGTTGGAATGACAAAGAATTTTATAGGAAAAAAAAGAAGTTAAAATGGAATTTGGCCTGCACCCTTGGCAGGTCAAATTAGTAGAAGGACGAATCTCTTGACCAAATGAGTAGTGAAAAATAGCAAAAAAAGAAAAAAGACGAGCTATGAAGATAGAAAAATGCTGTGACAGAGGATGAAATGGAAAGATACCAAGCAAATCGTAATATCAAAAAATAGAAAAATGTGCCGAAACCACAGTTGATGTATAGTACTATCATAACACAAGGAACTGTATATATTTTCTCTCGGGTTGATAATAAAAATCGAATTTTTTCCAATTACTGTATATATAAATAAGAACATAAATATAAATGATTTCGTTTACATTTCATTTATTTTTTGCATAATAATAATAATATTTAAGATTATTTTAATGTTTAAAAAAATTTAAAATATTCTTTTCAACTTCATTCCTTTCATTCTGTTTCAATAAATAACACAAAGTCAATAAGTATTTAATTAATTATTTATAAATATAATTTAAAAGTATTATAAATTATTTTTTAATAAANGTAAAAATTTTTACTCTTATTTAAAAATTTCCTCATTTAATCATTGGATTTTTACATATTTTTTCGAAATAAAATTCATTTTTAAATCTTTTAAAACATTTATATTAAAATTTTAATAAAGAATCTTCTACACAATATTTATTTAACATTTAAAAAAAAATTTACTTTAAAATGTAAAAGCCGGTATGGCGGCTCACAGGCTTTCAGGCACCTTATACTATCCTGCGACAGATTTGTCCTTAGATGCTGTATTGCCAGCTGCAGATCCTTCACTTGTAGATGGGCGAAGCTGGTATCCCATCTGGTCCAACAAATACTCGATTGGTGACAAATCCGGAAACCGGCAAGACAAGCAAGTGTGGAAACATGAAACCCCAGCTGTGTGCAGCCATGCGTTATCTTGCTAGAGAACGGTTGTTTGTAGCCTTGCTAGAAAAGGCAACAAACGAGGCACAGGATTTCTTCAATTTTCGGCTGTGCCATTTATGTTCCTCGCACCAATACTAGGAGTGACCGATTGCCATACCAGATGACTGTTCAGACCAGTAAGAGCAATGTGCCATTCAACAGTAAAAGTACGATTTAAGCGCTAACTAGCGATCTTCCACACACTAAAAATGTGATCTGTTTTCAAACAAAGCTGGGATTCGTCGCTAAAGACGATACGATGGCAATCTGTAGTATACTTCTTTATCTTGGCACCCTGCAAAAGAAGCTGATGATGTTGGAGTCCTAATGGTAGGATTCGTAGCGGTCTGGTGATCTATTTGGGACGTTTCTAAAATCTGGCAGCTCTGTACGTGTGCCTTGAGTAACCACACCTCTTTATAAAATACTAAACTTGTGATTTTAAAGCACCGTGATGACACTACCTGGCTTAAGATCAGACCAAAACTGTAATCATTTCCATTTCTGTCTGAATATAGTAGTATGCCGGGTTTTGAAGTAATCGGATAATTCTATCTGGATGCGTAACGTTCTTTGTTAATAAGTGCACGATCCATTCTCGATATAATGGATTACATAGGAGAAGTGCAGTCACTTAGTGGCAAATATCCGTTACATCGGGAGGCTTGCCAATATTCTAATTTAGATATAGCAGCAAACTATAAGAAATTCTTAAATTAAAAGTCTTTAAAAAATTGCATATTATTATTTTTTATTTTCATTTAAAAAAAGCAAGAAAAGATTATAAAATATTAAATTGTAAAATAATTCAAGGATAACATTTCATATTAAAATGTTATTAAATTTTATTAGAAAGTAAAAAAATAGTAGTAATAAATAATGGAAATAAAATATTATTAAATTTTAATTAGTAATTTAATTTAATTTTTTAAAATAAAAAATATTAAATAATTATCGTTACCAAACATGAAAAATATTATATAAATTTTTGTTTCTTCGTTAAAAATATAAATTTGCTTTATAATAAAATATTTAACTATTCAATATAAAGTCGAATCTTCAATGACGATACACGGCAGTCAGTTTTTGATGAAAGTTTCTTTTTGAAATGCGTACAGAATAACCTCTAAACAATCGCCACCTCCGAACAACGGCCCATCTTTTACGTTTCTGTCAGTGTCCATTGTTAAGAGGTTTGATTATATATAACCTCTTAACAACTTAGTGTTTTTTAATAATAAATTGAATATTATTTCAATAATTTAAGTTAGTTTTTTAATAAAAATTATTTTAAAATTATTATTAAAACGTTCAAATATGCTTTATTTTTTTTATTTTAGAACAAGATTAATAACGTGCATAACTATTTTAAAAATACTTTCATTGAAGCAACTTATCTTATATAAAGAATAGTAGAGAAAAGTAATTACAATTGTAATTACTATTTATCAATCTTTCATCTAATTAAATCTGTCTTTCTTTTTTTTTCCTTATTTTGTAATTTTTCTTAAATGAAATTATCTCAAATTGACATTTAAATAAAATAAAAATTGATATAAAATTATTATCTATATAATAAAATGATTTTCTAAAATGGTATATTTAATTGAAAATAAAATTATACACTTCTCTTCTAAAAATTAGAAGATTTTCAATGCTTAAAATATAATCGATATGCTTAAAATCTGACAGCATTATGAATGATTATAACTTATCACATGGTTACGTTAGATCAATCGTGCAAAACGGAAGATATGCATTCATTACCACATTTATTTTTATATATTATAATAATATATCGATTCTATTCCATTATCCTTAAATAAATATTAAAATTTATATATTATAAATCTTTAAAAAATCTTATACAAAATGTATTAGATACGTGTGATTATCATTACTACTACACGGATATAAACTTTCTAAAGACGAAAATTATATTAAAATTTAAATATACTTTTAGAAGTTTTAAATTAAAATGATTAAAAATTTTATAAAGTTTTAAATTAAATAGCTTTTCTTTAAATAAAATGCTTTTTTAGTGCGTGATTTATTCACATGACACGCTTCACTTTGTAAAGAATGTAAAATATTTCACTTATGTAATCTGTTGGAGTTGTATGTTTTAGTTGGTTTATTTTAAAAAATGGCTGTTTTTTATGTATTCTAGGTCCTCCTGATCCTGTTGAGAATTGTTCGGTTACAAATCAAACAGATAATACTGTTGCTATTCAGTGCAATGCAGGTTATAACGGTGGGCTCCAGCAGCATTTTGTATTGGAAATTCATGACACTATCATCCATCGATTACTTGTTAATATAACAGCTGATGTACCATGGTTCTACGTAAGAGATTTACCGTCCGATACTCCTTTAATTCTGGTTATATATGCCGTGAATAACAAAGGAAAGAGCAAATCTTTAGTAATCAAAACCTATACTTTAGCAAGTCAACGAAGAGATGATGATACTGGTAAGTTCTAATCAATAATTGTAAAAATTTTTACTCTTATTTAAAAATTTCCTCATTTAATCATTGGATTTTTACATATTTTTACATTCTTTTATATTATCGATTAGATAATAATAATAATGTTCCTTATGACATTTATCGATAGCATTATATTATGTATTACTTATTATTAAGAAGCTTGAGAAGAATATGAGTAATAACTCTTGTTCTAGATAGTTGGAGATTAGGATTTAGTCCTGTCATGATTATTCTTTGCTCAGTTGTAACAAGTTTGGCTCTAGTTGCATTTCTAATCATCATTATAGTCAAATGCAAGACTGATTATTATCTGAAAGGTAAGTCATAATAATATATCAATTAATAAGCACATAATTGCATTTCTCATCAAATACGTTCGTAAATAGAAAATATATATTATAAATAATTTAAAATTACGTATTTAATTAAAATCCCCTTGGCTATAATTTATCAAAATGCAAATTTCACAAGGCATTAAGTATTTATTAATATTGTAATCGTACACAGTTTATAGTTGTGATTTTAATTAAAAATAATAATAGTTAATTATTAAATTAATTCGTATTTAAATCCCTTGATATATTTAAATATTTGGCACATAAATTTGAACAAATTTACTTACATTTTGTTTATGAATAAATCAATTTTTTTTAGGATTCTTTTGATTCAATAATACTGAATTAAGATAAGTGATATAAAGTTTTTGGAAATCCATAAGTATGGATTTGGAGTTTCGACTCGAGTGATTTCGAAATTTCTCTGCCAGTCATTTTTACTGTTTTATTTTTATTTTATTTTATTAAAAATAAACTCAGTGGAAATCAGGAAAAGAAAAGGATAAAATTTACTTTAAAATACTTTAAACTAAAAATAAAAATCATATTACTATATAAGTTTTACTATTAAAAAATGGTTATTTTTGTTTAACTTTAATATTTATTATAATTTTAAATTTAATTAAATTTCAATTTTTTAATCGATAATCCGGAAATATATCTCTGATTATCCTCATAGTTATTTCTGTACGACACATTCCTTATGGTTGGTTACACGTTCGATAGTGTTTATTAAGTTATAGGGCCTAAATTTTTGGAAATTTTAAAATGTGGATTTGGTCTCAGCAAACATTGATTCTCAGCCGTCCACTAGTACACTGGCACAATTTACTTACATGGTACTTACGGTTTACTTATATTAAGACCGTTTATTTATGTGGGACTTATGTAAACTGTATTAGTAGACAATTTAGTACTCTTTTATTGGCACACAAGTGAACTATCCATTTAACAGATAACAGTTTTCTTTTGTCTACTAAGGCCTTTGTACTAAAAATCTTTCTCCTCATCCTCCAGCAAGCAGAAAGATTGGAATTTTACTTGCATTTTATGCAATACAGTTTTATATTCATGATCATCTAGCAAGGTCTATTAAGGTCAGGACATAAGGAATATAGTTTAATATTTAGATAAAAATTGCCACATAAATGCTGTTTAAAATACTAATACTTCAAGGCATCATCTCAAATAATGATTGCTTAAAATTTACAAATTAAAATACTTTTTATTGCATCTGTTTTATAATTTATAATGTCTTTTAATTACAGAATGTGAAGCTAGATTAGCTGCTGCAAAACATTGTTTATTTTGCTCTAAATTGTAAGCTGCAGTAATTTCGAGTTTTAGAAAAATTTGAGTTGAATTCCATAGCAATAAATGTGAATATTCCATAGGGAATTTTAAAGATGAAGTGCTTTATTCTGCTAAAATTTCAATTGTAACATACACAAAAATGCTTTTATATTTTATAAAAGGCTTAGAAATGTATAAATTGTTGTTTACCTTTTAAATAAATTGTCTGTCTTCCAGTTATTCATTGAAATGTCTATTTGCCAGATTTATCCTTGTAAAAACAAAAATAATTTTAAATCAATAAAAGTATATGACCACAACACTCATTCAACATGTTATGTTATTTTTCTTCAAAATAAGCTAATATATTTTTAAAATGTAATATGATTAAAATGAAATTTTCATAATAAATTTTATAATATTTTTTCATGTAATTAAGAATTAATAACAATAATTATGAGTCAATAATACACTACTGACCATTAAATTGCTACAAAAGGAAGGAAAGCAAATAGCAAAATTATGTTTATTGTACACATACATACAATGAGAGGAAGACATGATTAAATTGACAGGTAATCTTGAGGTACTGTACATAGCACCTAGCATATTGTACCTTTCATGCAAATTTCGCGTTTGTTGCGTGCCGCCTTTATGGTGTAGCAATTTTAATGACCAGCAGTGTAATTATTATTATCATCAATTAAAATAGTTTTTGAACAGAATTCATATAAAATTTATTACATTTTTTTACAAATTTTAACCAAAATTATATATACACACATAAATGTTATTAAATTAAATTAAATTTGTATTTAATTCTATTTAACTGTTAACTCATTATTTGATTTANTACTCTAGTACTAAATTTACATTGTGAAATAATTAATTAATCTAATTATTCTTAATATAATGTTTTACTATATCGCCCAGAAAATTGTTTTTCGCCCTTTTTTAATCGATAATCCGGAAATATATCTCTGATTATCCTCATAGTTATTTCTGTACGACACATTCCTTATGGTTGGTTACACGTTCGATAGTGTTTATTAAGTTATAGGGCCTAAATTTTTGGAAATTTTAAAATGTGGATTTGGTCTCAGCAAACATTGATTCTCAGCCGTCCACTAGTACACTGGCACAATTTACTTACATGGTACTTACGGTTTACTTATATTAAGACCGTTTATTTATGTGGGACTTATGTAAACTGTATTAGTAGACAATTTAGTACTCTTTTATTGGCACACAAGTGAACTATCCATTTAACAGATAACAGTTTTCTTTTGTCTACTAAGGCCTTTGTACTAAAAATCTTTCTCCTCATCCTCCAGCAAGCAGAAAGATTGGAATTTTACTTGCATTTTATGCAATACAGTTTTATATTCATGATCATCTAGCAAGGTCTATTAAGGTCAGGACATAAGGAATATAGTTTAATATTTAGATAAAAATTGCCACATAAATGCTGTTTAAAATACTAATACTTCAAGGCATCATCTCAAATAATGATTGCTTAAAATTTACAAATTAAAATACTTTTTATTGCATCTGTTTTATAATTTATAATGTCTTTTAATTACAGAATGTGAAGCTAGATTAGCTGCTGCAAAACATTGTTTATTTTGCTCTAAATTGTAAGCTGCAGTAATTTCGAGTTTTAGAAAAATTTGAGTTGAATTCCATAGCAATAAATGTGAATATTCCATAGGGAATTTTAAAGATGAAGTGCTTTATTCTGCTAAAATTTCAATTGTAACATACACAAAAATGCTTTTATATTTTATAAAAGGCTTAGAAATGTATAAATTGTTGTTTACCTTTTAAATAAATTGTCTGTCTTCCAGTTATTCATTGAAATGTCTATTTGCCAGATTTATCCTTGTAAAAACAAAAATAATTTTAAATCAATAAAAGTATATGACCACAACACTCATTCAACATGTTATGTTATTTTTCTTCAAAATAAGCTAATATATTTTTAAAATGTAATATGATTAAAATGAAATTTTCATAATAAATTTTATAATATTTTTTCATGTAATTAAGAATTAATAACAATAATTATGAGTCAATAATACACTACTGACCATTAAATTGCTACAAAAGGAAGGAAAGCAAATAGCAAAATTATGTTTATTGTACACATACATACAATGAGAGGAAGACATGATTAAATTGACAGGTAATCTTGAGGTACTGTACATAGCACCTAGCATATTGTACCTTTCATGCAAATTTCGCGTTTGTTGCGTGCCGCCTTTATGGTGTAGCAATTTTAATGACCAGCAGTGTAATTATTATTATCATCAATTAAAATAGTTTTTGAACAGAATTCATATAAAATTTATTACATTTTTTTACAAATTTTAACCAAAATTATATATACACACATAAATGTTATTAAATTAAATTAAATTTGTATTTAATTCTATTTAACTGTTAACTCATTATTTGATTTAATATATAGATGGCAAAAATGTTATGTAATGTCTTATTGCACTTGAACAACGATTATATAAATTTTTTCAAACATTATGAAATCAGCATCTGGCTCAACATTGGCCGAAGTGAACAAAACCACTGAACAATGGTCACGGATTTGCACACCACCAACCAGTGCCATGTAAAATTTTGTGGTATCCAACAACTAAATAGCGGCCAGTTTCGATAGAAAGTCCTCTCGGGAGGTATTCCTCTTGGTAAATCACGTGGGCGATCTGTCCACCTGTTGCGTTTTCTTAGCCCATCAATCCAAACCAAATCAGCATGTAAAACTATCTATATTACAATGTGTTTCATATGTTTATCTCCAACTTCAATTTCGATCTTCTTCAGTTGTATCCCGAAGTATGGCATGACACTTCAAAGAATGTGTCTTTGAATAGCGAAGATTTCACTCTTGATAGATGATGACATCTTCCATAATCTTTAGGTTGGTTTGGTACACTGTTCTCGAGATATCTCCATAAAAATATGTTCCAAGAATTCAAATGTAGAGAACAAACAGCCCAGTTATTCCTTTCATGGTTTTTTCCATAAAGATACGTTGAAGTTAAGTAAGCGTATTGATCATGTTATCACTTTGTATAAACGACTTAACATGTTGATTTGAATTCTATTTGAAGCACATTCTATATCAGTGTTTCTCAACCTCTAACGAATCGTCGACCCCTTCAACGTAGTATCGCCCCCTTCACTTCAAAATTCCGATGCAGAGGACCAAGGCTAACGCCAAATTCGTACTGCATTGAACAGACTAATGACTAGTATAATGTTATTTGTTTAATTATTGTACGATATAACGAATAAAATATCTAATTATTCTTAATATAATGTTTTACTATATCGCCCAGAAAATTGTTTTTCGCCCTCAAAATATAAATTGTTACAAATCGCCCCCTCAACATGGAAAAACGCCCACATGGGGGCGATATCGCCCCCATTGAGAAACACTGCTCTATATTATAACGCGTGTAATACGTTTGCCCAAAACTCGAGCTTTGCAACATTGAAAACACTTTGTAAATGAATTGACCAGTCTGCATGTCTTCACAACTGAATTAATGAAAGCTAGCTTCATGAAGTTAGCTTCATCAAAGATAGTGCCAATCAAACGAACTCGAAGACTTTGGAGGAGGGCGAATCATCTTTAGAATGTAAAATCTTCGCTAATTTTAGAAATGATCTTCGAGACTTCATACTAAATTCTGGGATAAAATTGTGGATATTGAAGTTAAAGATATAACACATCGTAATATAAACAGCTTCGGATGAATATTTGAATGGTATTTTAGGAAAATACCTTGTTTGATTGTAACAAAGCATTAAATTTGTAAGATCTTAGATTTTTTTAATGTTTTATTATTAATAATTTGATCTTTATAAAATGGTTTTTTAATTTTATAACTAAAATATTTATTGATTATAAAGGTAATGCCATAGAAAAGAAATACGGCACCTCTCTCGATTAATAATATAACATATTTAAAATTACATATAAAAATTGATTTATAAATTATTTATTATCGGATAACTTATCTTAATAATATATCAAATTATATTATTAATATAAAAATATTTTTAAAATTTTAAAACAATTATTTTTATTATATTTACAGTTAACACAGTTAAAAGAAGGCACAGTGAAAAGTAAGTATGAAATTATAATTATATAACCCTACTTTTATAAATAAATAATATATTAATATATTGTATATGCATGTGTAGAATAATAAATATAATTTTTTTAAATATTTTAAAAGATTTTAAAAAATATTGCTTCAATAAAAATCGTATTAAAAATTATTAATAAATTTTATTCTAAATTAAATATTTTAAAAAAGTAATTTATAATATAATTTAATGGATCTTCGCTTTTATTTTATAACAAAAACATATTTTTAATGGAAAGATTAATATAAAAATATATTATAATTTAGTAGAGTAAAATATTATTTAAACATAAAAATTCAAGGAGGAAAAAATATATTAATTTTAAAATAAATTTTTAAAGCTGTTACAACGAAAAAAACAAATCATATAATTACATTAAATAATTTGATAAATATTTCAGAACTAATATTTAAATTAAAGAAAAAAAATACATTAGAATATTTATTAAGATATTATGAAGAAAATTGAGTAAAGATGTTAAATTTTTTAATGAAAGTTTTTACGAAATAGCAACAATATTTTCTAACCATTAAATTAATATTATTATTAGTTTTATTTCTTCTCCATTAAAAAAATTTACTACAGTCCTTAATCTGTAATTTAAATATCTTTACTAAATTCCTAAGCATCTTTATGCGGAAATTTAATATATTTTACACCCGAAACATTTTATTATCCTTTAAAATGTTAAGAAAAATAAATATATTAAATTTTTTTATCTTGAAATTTAGCGATATGTTACTATAGAAACTGTTTGAAGACTCGTAAACAATCCATTAAAATATATTAGTAGAAGGATCAAATTACGAGCATAGAATACATTCAAATAAATTTTAACTGAGGGGAAAAAATATTATGTTATATTTCTTGTCAAAAAATAAGCCAAAACAAATGTCATGCAGGTAAATATAACTAAAGTATGACAATGAAAGATTGTATAAGTTTTCTTAAAGCAGAAAAATAAATATGAAATTTCCTTACTGTATATATTTTCATGCATAAGATATCATCTAACAAAAATATATTTTTTAATTTATTAAGTTGTAATTTATTAAGTGACATCCAAAATCATTTATCATTAAATATATTTCTTCCAATTACAAAAAAAGTGAGAAATGTAGAGGAACCTCTTTGATCAATCGATAGAAAACAGATAAATTTCTTCAGTAAAATCTTAGTTTCTTAAAATTTGAATAAATACCATCTTCTTATATTAAAAGGATTTTTTTGGAAAAATGCTCGTAAAAAATTTTTAAAGTAACATTGATGTTTGATTGCCTACCGATTATGTTTTCTGTTGCTAGTGCGTGTACGGCTTCTGTGACAGATCCACGTCACGATTTGTCATCCTTCAAGCTTGCTGACTAGAGTTACCATGGTAACTACGGAATTTCCCCCAATAAGAGTTCCTTTAATCCTTGCATAACTGTCTAGCTGAGTTAGATAAGACATGACCGATGACATAGTAGGTGGATGATTTTTCTTGGTGGACAGCTTGATGACGTTTCTCACTGACTTCAACAATGTACAGTTCCTGAGTTTCTTATATCAAAAGGCATTTTATATATTGTGTCAAAACTATAATAACTATATATATATATATATATATATATATATATACCTTTATGTTTTTTCTAATGTTTTCTATTGCCTAATGTTACAAGAAGAAAAGGAATCATGGTTTAATGTTATGAGAAAATAACATTTATACAACATATTTACCGATAACAACAACATGTTTTTTTCGATAGTTATAATGCATTTCCATAAAAAATAATTGCTTTAGAGGACCATAAATCTTCTGCAGTACCAATTCAAACATAGATATACGTTTGTAAATGAACACTTTCAAAGAATATTAATGCAAAATTACCATTTACTATCCAATATTACATACAATTTAATATTAAAATTAGAATATTTATTCGTTTTTTTACAAGTATTCACAACGTTAAAATTTGAAGTAATAAAAATAAATCATGCATTTTAAGTACTATCAAAACATATAAATATTTGTTATCGATTAAGTAGGAAATATTTTTTAAAATAAATCAAATAAAACTAATCTACCTTAAACTCCAAATAAAGATGAAATGAAGAACTGTTTGGTTCAACCAACGGGGAACTTTTATCTTCTAGTTTTTCTCCACTACTTGCAACTAGTCATAAATCATTTTGTCTTCAGCTTGATCTACAACGAAGTTGAAGTTAGTGCACAGCACACCATTGAGAAAGATCTAAGAGCTTCCATACGTTGTATACACGAACATTTCTTCAAAATAAACACTATTTACTACTAAAAAAAACATATATTTTATAATGATGTTTTCTTTTGTTTTAAAAAATTATATAACTACCTTCAAAATACAGTTATTTAAATTACTACCGCTAAAAAAACCTTACCCAAAAACCCGAATTTTTTATTTTTATTTTTTATATTTTACAGAACTATAATTTAATTTTTAATTTCTTTGCCATAAAAAATTGGATTATTTTTAGTGTTTTCCGATGTATTTTAGTTGGATAAATCATTTTTAGCGAGTTGAAAGTCAGGTTACTATACTTAGAAAAATTCTTTTTTCTCTCCTAAGGAATCGCGTACCACCGGTTGAGAAGCAGCAAATGAACGTATAATTTATATTTATGTGTATTAGGAAGTCTATTGATTATATGGCAAAAGTCTGTATTAAGATATTAATAGTTTAATTAGTAAAATTGAAATTTTACTTACTATGAAGAGAGTAATTATAGAATCTTGCGATTAAATACCATACAAAACATCTCTATTGTTGAGTGAAAATCAATACTGAAACATCTGTCTAAGTACTTGGAAGGAATATATATACTCTTTATCTTAGTAGACACTTTACAAGTTTCGAGTTACTAAATAAATTAGAATATAAACCTAAACTTCGGTATACGTTAAAAGAAGAGAAGGAAGGAAGGAAGGAAAGAGAAAAAATTAATTTATTAACTCATTTTATCAGCATTTTTATTCATTGAGACGAATCAAATTAAGGATTTTTAAAGTTAATCAACAGAATTTTTATTAAAATTTTTTCTTATATATTAATATAAAAATGTTATTATTTTCTATGAGTACAAATTTAATATTTTTCTCTTAATTGTAAGTAATATTTTAATTTGATCTGGTTAATTTAATCTGATCTGATAAACTTAATTTTTAATGAATATGTGCAATTATTACGGAGAAAAAATATTTAAAAAATTGTAAAATAAATTTGTCAACAAATTAATTAACATTGGAAACATAAATCCAAGTAGGACTAATAAAAGTAAGGGTGTTAATAATTAGAAAAGTGGCTAAAACGAAGAAAAATATGCATAAATGCAAAGAAAAACAATAAAAAAGAAACAAAATCATAACAAATATTGTCGAGAAATTGTGTGTTTGCTCGAATGGCTTAAAACTTTTAATATCCGTTGCAGAGAGCCTCAGGAAGATCACCAGTTGCGTTTACGTCCATCTCTAGCTGATGAAAAGTGTCCTGATGTTATACCGGGTAAGAAAACGGAATTCCCCTGTGAGTTAGCAAACATTATATATATAAGATAAGTGATTCGACCTGAAAATATTTTAAGCTCTGATATTTATAGTATATTAACTTAATATCGTTGTAAGTAACTTCAATCCTTTTCATTAAGTCATAGCGATAACAGGGTAATTCCTGTTATCGCTTGCATGACTTAAATATAGTAATTAATTGTAATTCGCAATTTATTTAAATTTTCTTTTTTATTATTCTGTATTTTTGAATTTTTTAGAGTGTTTTCTCTTGATTTTTCTATAATTAACGATTGAACTTTTTATGAAGTACCAATTGTAAACAAATCGATTTTATGTTATATATCTTCATTTTAAACACCTTGACTTTGGAATCGTATAGGGTAAACTGGTCTAATCATGAAAAATGGAAGATTTTACTTTCCCCATCCATAATCTGATATCTTCTCTTTCTCCATTCAATTCCATTTATCCAACTGCTGGAAATGTCGGGCTGTGAAACGCCCAGTTACTTTTCAATCAGATGTTAACGGTTTTGATCTGAGTTTTTATACACCAGAGAAAATCTTTTGCTATTTGCATTCTCCAACCTTCTCTCCATAAAACTTCTATTATTCAATAACTTCAATATTTATTTATAGAGAAGAGAGTTTCGATAGATTCAAACAATTCTCTCTTCCTTTTTTCCTTTTTCTTCTTCCTCCTCCTCCTTCTTGCTTTCATCTTTATTTTCTTTAACTAATTTCCTTAAAGAAAATATTATAAAGATCTTGTAAAATTTTAATTAAATTTCTAACTCAAAAAATTAACCAAAAAATTTATAATTATAGTTAATATATTCATAAATTTCATGAAATTTTGCTTATTATCTTAAATTTTATATTGTATGATAATGAATAAATATATTCTTTATTTTCTTCGCGATAAAGTTTATTTAGAAATTTAATTTATTATCCACATTTTTCTACAGAAGATTGATTAATAAGATTATAGGTTATCCGTGTAATCTAGTTCTAAGAAAACTATCAATTTTAAATTAAGAGAGTGATGCAGAAAGCATTGATTGATGATTTTCATTATGTTTATTTTGATTATAAACTTCCTCAATTTAATAATAATAATAAGAAAAAAGATATCGAGAAATTGTATATCCAATGTAACAAAATAGTGTAACGCGTTTAGAATCCCTGAGTAAATCTTGGAGAAAATCGAATTTACGATTTTCTTCTCAAGTACGTGATCATGATAGTGTGCAGAATGCACTTTCTCAGATTGTAAGGAGTTAACGATTCTTTTGCTACCTATCTGAAAGGTATCTTAATGCTAGTATACGTAGGTTACTTTCATAATATATATTACTTTTAAAATATTTTTTAAACATTTATTATTATGTTTATCAAGTTTTTGAGAGAGTCATTTGTAGAGCCATTGTTCAAAAATTGTTATAAATTTAACTTGAACTTTACAGTTCATATTAAAATGAACTAAGTTCAATAATTAATACATATTCAGTACTCTAGTACTAAATTTACATTGTGAAATAATTAATTAATTTATGAAATAGTTAAATATTTACATAATTTAAATTACTTTTGTTAAATTAATTTTTATATAATTAATATAATTTAAATTACTTTGTTGTTAATTACATCTTCTATCTTCCTCTCTTCACGTTATTTCTGGTTGTAAGGAGAGAAAAATTTTTTCCTACCTTAATCTAGTATAAGTAGATTATTTTTATTGTTAATTTTTTATTTATTTTCAAATTTTATCAGAGTTTTTGTAACAAAAATACTTAAGTCTTTTTATAAAAATTAGGTTAAATTTAAATGTAAAGACATTATTTGTTCTTATTGTCTCGAACTGAATTCAAAGTAAACTATAAATTTAACTGAAAAATTCGATACTTCAATTCTAAATTCACATTATTTTTTAATTAATTATTTATTTATCGTAATAGGAAATCACCTCCGTTGTAGTGAGATACATTGCTTTAATTATCCACATTTAAAAATAATAATTGAAGAAATTATGTATTATTACTTTTTGTCATTAAACTAAATAAACAATGACATTTTAACAAGAACACGTTAATTATTTTAATGAACAAATCCAGAAAAAATTTATATAATCTCAATATCAAGGTTGGATTTCTATGAAATATCTTAGAATATAAATCTTCCATCGAGTACAAGCACTCAAAAATGTAATGTCAGACATCCTCCTGAGTTCCTCTATCTCTCTACATTCACAACATAAATGAAAAATGGAAAATTGGCCTTGACGTTTTGTACAAATGCATAAATTCACATTATTTTGAAGCGAAATCATAAATTAATTTATAAAATAATTCGAAATTTTGATAGAATTTAAACCGCTTGATGATAAAAATGCATAAATTGTCTTTAAAATTTTATTGTAATTAGTGCCTAAAATTTAATTTTCATTAATTTAATTGTTAAAAGTTTAAATTTTTTTAAAATCAAAATTAACAAGAAAATGAATGAATGCATTCGTATTTTGATGTAAAACTATACGCTGGATATCAGTTTCTCTGATAGAACCTATTGACTGAAAGAATAATAATTTTAATTAACTTCAAAACAATTTCTTTCATCTAATATCATGAAAAATGATATAACATATTCATTACAACTAAGATTATACATTACTCTGTTTACATTCGAATTATTAAATTAAATAAAGATTAATTTAGATGTAATTTAAAGATTAACGAAATTTATTGAATTAAATTTAATAATTAAAAGTCAATTATATTTAATATATTACTACAAAATCAATTAATGATGTGTTCAGTATATTAAATTATTACTACAAAAAAGTTAATTTAAATAAATAAATTTATAAAAATTGTAAAATAAACGAGGAAAAATTATTATGACATCGTCACAATGCCGAGCTGCAATTTTGAATCATATTTTTAATTTATTTAATTTAAAATATACTCTCGACCTCAAATTTGTAGCGTCTCGCCCTTGTTCATCATGCTTTTCCTGATAACAACAGAGTCATGCTGGTCATCTATGTAAGTCCATTCTGGGAAAAATTTTTGAATTGAAATCACGTGATTTCCGGTCGAGACTGAAAGTTCCTGAACTTTCAGTCTCGACAGATAGACAGCCGATAATTTTTTTTCAAATTGAAGCCCAAAAATTGTTTAAAAATATTTTTTTTATTAAAAAATTAAAACAAGTTTCTATCAGATAAATTGAATTTGTTTTACTTACAACACTATTTACAAGTATACTTACTTACCATTTATCTCTTAATATGCATCGTTTGTATGCAGTTACAAGTTTATTTTTTGAATTTATTCGATTTAAATGTAAGTTTTAAATTGTAGAATTGTGCCATTATATCATTTACTTTTCATCCCCTCATACTTTAATATTTCTACATATCAATGATGGGTCTTTCACTTTCAACTAATCCCACTTCTTGAATTGCTTATGACAACGATTTATCATTTTTAGACTGCATATCAACCTGGAGATAATAAATGGAAATTCTTTCTCTCATTCATGAGATTTCCATCATTTTCTTGTCATGTTCTTTGTTCTCTTTCTATTATCATGCAACTTCTAAAATTCTGATTTTTGTTTTCTTTTATACAAGTTTACTTTATTATAAATGAAGTTTATCTTGTGTTTCTTTTCTTTTACTTATTAATTTTTATGTTTTCTCTGACATATTTAAAGCGCACGTAAATTATTTTTTTCTATGCTTAGATGAGATCACTTGTTTAAAAAATGGGAAAATATTAATAAATTTAATTGATAAATTTAATATATTTTTTAAAATAGTAACAAAATACATAATTTTAAATTTATTTTAATTATTTATTAATTTTATACTGTTGTACAATATCGTGAAATGGTCAAAAGTATTTTTGGGAATCGCGTGCTACCGATTGCGAGTCTAACTTACACATTCTGATAAATGTTGTGTTAAATAAAATGATTAATGGCATTTATTTTAATTTTCTAACTAAATATATTGTTTATAGATTTTATATTTTATACTTTTTTAAATTTATCGATAATTCAATTAATACTAATCCAAAAAAGAGAATGAAATAATTAATGAATATTGCATATATTCAACAATTTAAAAATTTCCTTTCGTAGAAGAAGAAAATCAAATTTTCGTCTTCTACGCAAAATTTAAATACATAAATAATTAAAAGAATCTTAAAATATTTATTAGAATAATCAGAATGCTTAAATTTTCATAATTTACGTAAGAAATTTAAGTTTTTGAGCGATGTTTTTATTGAGTTTTTAAGGAAAGCTTTTTTTTTTAAAAATCAAATAAATCTTTATAAAAATTACCAATCACTTAAATTCTTATAAAATAAACAGTTTTTAATAAAATATCCTTTTTAAAATAAAGGAAAATTGTTGTTAGGTAGTGTTTCAGTATGCACTTACTAAAATTGAAAATGCAACTAAATAAAAATATTTAGAAGTAAAANAGGAAGGAAACTTGGAACAAGACCAAAAGAACACAAAGCGGCAATAGGATTGAAAAGAATGGAATCCTCATGGTACCAACATTGTAGTGTTAAAAATTGTATTATTGACTGCATTAATGTAAAAATACTGTATAAAATAAAAAATGTAGTTATGAGATGTATTGTAGAACACTACTGTATTTAATAATTATGTAAATACCATTAATTTGAATATCGGAGTCAGCATAGATGCATGCTGGGATGTGTTGATAGAATATAAGAGTGTTGATGATGTAAGACAGAATAACCACTGATGAGGCTGAAAAAGCGAAGTGCATATGGTGATGAAAAGTTTGAATAAAGTAAGAAATAATTATTAACTTCAGTTTTCCATAAAATAGTTTTAAATATTTATCCAATCTTATAAAAAAAAAGTAATTTTACTATTTTAGATTTTCTGAAGTGGTTGTAATTTATATAGCTTTATTCACGCGTGAATAGAAACTAATTTTGTTAATGGAAGA